GCTGTTTTCATTAACTCCTCATTGCACACTCTGAGCGTACAAGTTTTTGCAAGGCTAAGGAGAGAGGACTTTCCTAGTTGCATTCCTTCTGCTACAAGCTCAGTCTGTGTTATGTATGAATAAAAAGTGTGGGTAACCAGCAGTAAAATAAGCTTATTTCACTGTGTAGGGAAAAAATGTCTGAAGAGATGAAAGAAGTTAATTTTTTTTATGCCTCTCTGTCTTTCCACGTCTTGGATACTTTTCTAAGGAAACTTTTTTAACTCTTGAAATGGTCTGTGTCCTTTTTTTCCATGATCCCTTTTTGGCTATCTTTCCATAGCTCTACTCACTTCCTAAAATAGACCCATTATCACAGAACAGAAAGTGAAACAAAGTTATCAAACATTGATCTAAGATGCCCAGGCCAACAACAGCATTGGGGAAATCAAGGTTAGAGGCAGCATGCACTAACAGGCATCATTGGTCATATTACAGAAGTTGGTGATTTTCCATCAGTGTTGATTCCTGTAGCAGCCATGCTTCAGTGGCACTTGACATGAAGTCTCACAGCTAAGTTATGGTTGCATATCGCGTGTGGGTTCAGGGACCCCAGCGACGGACCCCGTGGCACATTTTGTATGGGAGAAAGGACACACACGAGATGTGACCAACAAAATGGAATTTATTGGAACAAGTCAGCTTATATACAGGGGGATACAGAAATTTTGGGAATATAGGAGGGTTTCTTGCTTAGAACATCAAATCCCAAGGTTCATTGATAAGGAGACTTGAAGGGATAGGCCCAGGGGATATGTTTGGCCATATATGGAAAGGGGAGAGCAAGGAAAGAAGTGGTGAGGGGCACAGACAGGAGGGTCTTCAGGGGTCTGTGAGACTGCTTCTTATCGTTGGACTCAGGCATATCCTGCAGCTGTAGTTGTCAAGGCCCTCCTAGATGGATTTCTTCCTCTGAGACCTCTCTGCAGCCTTCCTGCATCCTCCTCCATTGTCTGCAGGCCTCTGTGGGCCCACTTCCCACAGTTGCATATGCCTCCCATCCAGCCTGGAGATGTTTCTGGCCTTGGCCATTTTTTCAGCAGTCTGGTTGAGGCTTCTGCACAAATCAGTCTCCCTAAAAAGTGAAGGAGTATGAACATGAAGAATGAAGTTTAAATATTTTTAACCACTCAGTTCCAAGTCATAAGCTGGTAATGTGAGAAGATGTGGTAATGGGAGTTCAATTATTCCAAAAATAAAGAGGTAATAAAACAAAATCCAGAGAATCTCACAGATTTTTGTGACGATTTGGCTTTCTATTATAATAGGTTCGCCTCCAAAAAAGCAAAAAGTAGAAAAGCAAAGTCATATAGCATGTCTGGTGGAAATAAACAGGAGTTATTACATGGATACTTTCTCCTAGGCTCTTAAGAAATAACCAAATTTATTCTTGACCTGATTTTACAAAAATATGTAGTAACAATCTCACAGAAAAACAAATGGTCTCTAAATGGTTCTCTAAAAATCCTTGAAATAGTGTATAAAAAACTACAGCACAGCCTGGAAAATAACCATTGGACTAAAAATTAGGAGAATTTAATCAAGTAAAATTCATGGAAGGGAAAATGAAGTTGCTGACTTTGGTAGAAAATACCCTGAGTTGCAGGTTGCCAGAACTTGGATGGATGTAATACAGAATACACATTTTGTTGTCTTCTTCCCATGACATCCCCCTTGCCATCTTACTGGCACCTGCTGGAAAGTCTCCAGGACCTCCTGGAGATTTGCCCTGTTGCAGTATGAATATTCTTGCATAACCTGAAGCAACCTGACAGGGTAAACACATTTGATAGAAATATGTTCAGCGTGGATGGCTTGAAGCCACAAGGCCAAGAATTTAAGGTAATTTACTGCCATTTGTCATGCTCGGAAAGTGAAAGAAAACAGACATTTCTACAGATAACACACTCAGTTGTGTTGAGAACTGAACAACAGAGGTTGCATTTTCTTGTGGAAATACTGAAGTCTGTGGTTCTGATACTCTCTAAAATAAAACATTTAAAGGGCTAGAAACAATTGGGCTGTGTACAAAAAGTATTGAATATCACTAAAAGAAGAGCCATCATGGATAGTTCATTCTGCATGTTAAATGAATGGACATGAAATGGAAAGGAATGGAAATGAATAGATATACTGTCCAAATAGATGTGTTACTATTCCATAAAATTTATTTTTCTTTTAAATTAATTGAAAAGTGAAGTCACTTGGCACTGGAGTAGAACAAAATAGCAGTTATTTAGCAGGCTGAAACAACTTGCCTTGAATCCCTGGTACTTATCTCTTTCGATATATGTAACCCAACCATTGTAAGAGGAGATGTCAGCTACTTTGAATTAAGGGACTATTGAAAGGTCATGATGGTCTCCTGAGGTCAACTGTTTATGATTTAATGATGATGAATAATATGGAAAGTAGATACTCTGAAATTGAATCTGATCCTTCTTAGTCAAAAATATAGGAAAAGTCCTGAAGGATGAGAGTCTCATGAACTTGTTCCTGACTCCATGCTGCTCTTGCCATGCTAAACAGCTCTGCCTTGGATAATATGATAGCAAGCTTTCAAGAAAACTGACAGTGTAATGGATTTCTTTTGGTGAGGTGGCTATGGGATGAAAAGAAAGCAAAAAAAAATCAGGGAGAACTTGAATTCAAGGCTAACTGGCACAATTTTTTTCTGTGAAATTTGGGAAAAAAGTGTAGAAAGTTCATTTTAGACCAATTTAGAATAAATGTATTTAAAAGATAAAATATTTGTTACTTCCAGGATATTTGAAACATTTTTACTTGCAGTGATTATGGTGAAACTTATCTGAGAAAAGGAACTCAATCTACTGCCTATCATAAAACCTGCAAATTAACACTTGGGGCCACAAGTTCTGCAGTAGGAACTGGTCCAACAGGACAAGAGTTTCCTTTGCTTCACATCAGGAGGCAAATCAGGAGGTAGGATTAAGACACAGATGGCATGGCAGCCCCCTGTGTGGTACTGATACTGCCTTGTGGGGAAAGGGTGGTTCTGGCACCATCAGTCAGCATGAGTGCAGGGCAGCCACAGCACATCAAGGAGGCCATCTGATGTTTCTTCCCTCCTGATCTGCAGGGGAAAGATATCAGAGTCCCTATGGATGAAGCAAATTTGAGAAGGCTACTGATGAAAAATGTAGAACTTTCCATTAGAGGGAGACATTACTCAGTCAGAAATAGAATCACAGAATCATTTAAGTTGGAAAAGACCTCCAAGAACATCAAGTCCAACCAAATAAAAAAAACCCTGCCATGTCTGCTCCTAAGCCATGTCCCTAAGTGACACATCTACATACTTTCACATCTTTTAAATACCTCCAGGGATGGTGTCTCAAATGTTTCCCTGGGCAGCCTATTTCAGTGCTTGAAAACCCTTTCCATGAAAAAATGTTTCCTAATGTTCAATCTAACCCCCGCCATTCCCAGTGCAACTTGAAGCCGTTTTCTCTTGTCTTATTGTTTGTTCCTTGGAAGAAGAAATGTGATCAGAAGCCTCAGTCAAATAGGAGCCAGACTCAAGAAGACTTCAGATGATGCAGGGCTAAGGTTCAGAGGCCCTGCAAAGTTTGACTTCTTTTACTATAGCACTGCATCCTCTGAGATAATCTGCCAGCCAAAAAAATTAACCTTTAGGTCAGTCTCACAGACTGTCACAGCAGAATTTGCAGTGAAATCTGCTTGGCAGTAAGAGTTTTCAAGGAGAACAGTGTTTGTTACTCAGCCGGGTCCTTCATGGGTTATTTCTTTATTTACATTGACGGAAAATATACAAATGTGACATCTGGAATTAACACGTAGTCATTTTCTACAGATTAGAACTAAGGTGCTTGCGGCTATTTTTCTTGCCATGTTAGTGAGAAGGATAAATGAGGACATTCACACCTTACAGCAGCACCCCAGCAGGGTGGAACCTTCAACAAGATTAAGAAGACACTCATCAAGGAAATAGCACTGTGACCAGACAAGTTGTTTTGAGATGCAAATATAAAAATTTATCAGTATCCAATGGGAAAAAAAAATTACTGATGGGACATTTATATTAACCATCTATTGTTGTTGTTAGGTTTTTAATTTGCCTTATAATCTACATCTACTCTATTAATTAGATGAATAAAAATTGATTGTGTTATGCATTAGAGAGTAATCTGGTTTTAGCTAGAATGAGTGTGCTGTTTTCTAGATGGTTTATTATTATGTTTTGGACTGGTTGAAGATTTGTTGTTGTACTCCTATTGGAAAATGCCATTCTCTAACAAAAAGGAAATTAAATATTGGCATGAGGATTAATTATGACCACTGAGTGCTAAGCTGATAAAGACTTTCAGAAGCTATTTCAGCTGTAGAAATCAGTTGATGACTAATTAAATACAAAGCCTTTAGAAGTAACATGGTGGCATAATCACTCTACAATTCCCATGTTAATTAAAAATTTGCTTCTTTTGCACTGTATGAAGTTACTTTCAGAAGTGCAGTAGCACACTCCACATTAGAACTATCGCAACTTTCAAAACAATGAGTCCTTTTCAATTGTTCACATCTTACACTGAGAGACTCTCCTTTTTTTGCAGTCTATTGGTTTGCACAGCTTCTTCAGAGCCTATGTATAGCAATACATTTCCGTTCTGTGTCTGGACCTCAGATTAGTACAGTCAAAGATCACATGGACCTCTGAAGAGATCTGCTTCTGATGGAACCAGTAATTTTTTCCAATATCAAAAAACAGTGATTGTGAAAAATCACAGGCTTGCCAGTATTATGACTCTATTTTTGTGTGCCGTACAACTCGAGCTGAATTATACCACTTACACCACCAATAAAGCGTTAAATCAGAAATTCAGGTATTCCCAAATAGCAGTGAAACAGTGAACTGATACTGTTTTGCAATACCTTCTTTTATGAAATGCAATATATTCATATACATACATATTAATTTCTAGATGGCTACCCTAAAGAGGAAATGATTTACAGATGGAGGAAAAACTCAGTGGAGGCTGCTGACCAGAAATCTTGGAGACTCTATCAGTTTGACTTTATGGGTCTCAGAAATACTTCAGAAATTGTGAAAACCTCTGCAGGTAAGAATTAAATAAATAGTAGAGCTTTTTCTGGAAATCATATTATTTAAAAATATTTATTCCATTTTGTTTTCATTTGAATGCAAATTGATTTCAATGTATACCAATGTTCATATTAAAATCTGTAAAGTGCAGACCTCAAAAACATTGATTTTCTCTAGATTTTTTTGACAACTTCTTCTCTAGTAGTTATTTCACAAACTGAGGAATAAATACTAAGTTGACATAGCTGTTGGTTATATACTTGAAGTTACAATATGATTCTCATTCCTCATCTAAGTTTATTTGGCCATTCATTTGCACTGAATGCATTTTCACCATAAATTAAAGAAGGAAGATTTTATATACAATGGTAGGTTAGTGACATTAGACACTTTTAATACTAGTTTACCATTCAGCCACAGGTTTAATATTTCTCTTAATATTTCAAAGGCACTCTTTATTTCTCAGTTGGTAAATGCCCTTGTTAGTGACTCTGACAGTTGACTGTAATTAAAACCTAGTCATGACTATTTTATTTCTTCAGAAATTTTGCTGTTTCTTATAATAGCACCAATATATATATATATATTAAAAAAAGATGTTTAGATAGAATACATTTTACTTGAACTGGATAGATTCTCATAAAATTCACACAATATCTAAAATTTATACGTGACTCTGCAGGCATCTCTGTGATTACAATTTACAAGAAGCTGCTGAGGGAACCTGCTAGAGGTGACCTTCTGCTTAACTGGTGTTAAATTTTTGAAAAATCCAATATATTTATTTTTTTTCAAAATGTAAGCAAAGCTAAGCTATTATTTTGGAAACACTGTGAATAATGTTAATTGTAAAAAATTATAAATCTGTGAAACTACTGCTGTTGGCTCATGGCCCACCCACTAACATCAGCATTGTATTCTCAAGATCGGATAGCAATTTTTATATGAATTTAATGAAGAGTCATTAAAGCTTTAGTGAATATTTTAAGCTGGTGGTTTAGCAGAACAAAATGTTGCAAACAGCACGTACGTAGAAGTTCTGTTATGGACACAAAACCTTATAGTGTTTAAGTTTCTCAGGAATGCAAATTTCCCATAAATTAAATCGGGTTTTGGCAGATAACAGTCACGTACAAAATGCCAAATCATTAAAGTGTCTGTGTACGTGGTTTAACCCCAATGGTACCTCAGCCCCCTGCAGCTGCTCACTCACTGTGGCGGGATGGGAAAGAGGTTTGGAAGAGTGAGAAAACTCGTGCTTTGAGATGAAGACAGTTTAATAGGCAAAGCAAAAGCTGTGCACACAAGCAAAGCAAAACAAGGAGTTCATTCACTGCTTCCTACGGTCAGGCCACCTCAAGGACAGCCGGACTCCCTCACAAGTAGCGGTGACTTGAGAAGACAAACACCACCATTAGGAATATCCCCCCACTTCCTCCTTTTTCCCCCAGCTTTATATGCCAAGCATGATGCCATATGGTCTGGGATATCCCTGTAGCAAGTTGGGGTCAGCTCTTCTGGCTGTGTCCCCTCCCAGCTCCTGTCCCCTCCCAGCTCCCTGGCTGCGCCTCCCCAGCCTCCTTGCTGATGGGGTGGGGTGAGAAGCAGAAAAGGTTTGCTGCTCAGCAATAATGCAAACATCCCACTATTACCAACACTATTTCCAGCACAAATCCAAAACACAGCCCCACACTATCTAATGTGAAGAAAAGGAAGGCTACCCCAGCCAAAACCAACCAGGAGCTCATTGGAAGGGGTGGTAGGAGCAGCAGAGAAAGCCCAGCTCCTTCTGCTTTGCTTACATCAGGAGTGATGCCATCCTGAGCTTCCACCAAGAACTGCTACATCAGGATGCAAGAAGATTTACCAAGACAGCCATATTAAGATATTGACAGTGTCTCGATAAACAGATCTATTAAACTCTTCCTTCGCTGGGACAAAACCATATTTATAGAGGTCTTATTCAAGTAAGTGAATCGATAATGTGGAACAAGGGAAAATCTATTTCTTATGGTTTTTTTAGTATATGCCCAGTTCTTAGGAGTGAGATGACACAATATTTTTTGTATAATTGCTATTGATTTTTCTGCTCACCTATGTTTGTGAGTGCAAATCCAGTAGCAGTGTTGAACTGAATTTACTGGAGCCACATGATATTTCTATTGTCATAAAGGCATCACAGGGGCAGAAAGATGTTTGGAAATTGGAGTTTATTCAAATATTGGAAAAAAAATTCATCAAAATCCCTATGAGGAGATTGTGAAAAGTAACTTAGAAGAAACAATGTAAATTGTATGAGTCAAATTGTCATCAGGTGTCATTAGGTTGTAAAAATGAGTTGTTCATTTTACCAGATATCTGAAAAGGTACTCATAGTCAACAAATACATGAGAGATGTGGGAAATAAACCCCTGAGTTTGCACATGGGCCTGAGTTTGCATAAAATCGACTATATTTTTTAACACTATATTTTAAGGTACTTTTAAGGGCAGATTTACTGAATATCAACAGTATTTACTGTCATGCGCAAACCTAGGGCCAGGACTCGAGAAAAAACAGGTACATTGAAAAATCTTGAGTCTGTCACATTCTACAGAGGAAGGAGTCCCAAAAATTGAGGGAGGGGGCAGGATACAACCCACATAGGACTGAACAGTATGTGTCAGACAAAATTTAAGGTAATTCTGTGTCTACCTGCTGTAAGTGTCTAAGTATATGTGATCAAGTAGAATAAAGAGGTATCTGTACTATGGTACACACCTATTTACGGAATAAAAGCTTTATCCAAGAAGTATGAGAGTTAGGAAGCTGCTGTTTCCTAATGTTTGGGCAGTCTGATAAAGGATAGGTGGCAGCTACTGCTTGCAGGTCTCACGTCTCCTTTACAGCTATGCCACGGGGGGCTACAGGTGGTCAAAAAAGAGATGCCAGGTTCTCTCATGGAAGATCTGTATCACATTTACACTCAAGCTGTCTGAAGAGGGGGATTGCACTGAGGCTGCCCCTAGGACACTAAGGGTATAGGACTCCCCTCGAATTTGTGCTGCTCTCCAAAGAGACCAGTTCCCACTGACCAGCCTCTGGGTCTGCCTGAGGCCCCTCTGAACCAAGTGGGAGCCCTGGCAGCTACCACCCCTTTGCAGACTGAGGACAGAAAGGAAGAGCAGGATTGTTCAGAGTGCTGCACAGGGGATCATTTGGACTAATGAGATGGAGTTAGGAAAAGGGAAGCAGGCAGGATATCAACAGTAGCTTTCTGACAAAGGCACTAAACATCATCTCTTCCTCCCAAGGGAAATTATGAAAACTGCTGTTAGAGAGGGCATTTAAAAGCAGACTGGGCAAAGCATGAGAAAATGTACTGCAGGGAGCAGTCCTGCACTAACAGGAGGTGGATTCAAAACCCTAACTTCTTTTTTGGCTTCTGACTTACACCTTTCTGCTCGTTTATGGCACTATTACTTCTCACTAAATTATGTGCTCATCTACATAATGTGAGAGCTGCTGTAGTGCTACCTTCCCGTATCTAGTTTGTGGATCTCTTTTTTAGCTCCTCTTCAGCCATGTTCTGGTTATAATAAAGAGGTCACACTGGTCACACGGCAACGCGCTGCTGCTCTTCCAGCATTTGCTTCAATCCTTTCTTGGTAGTCAATTTCTCTGCAATGACTAGATTTACTGCTTATCAGAGTTCTGCTATTTGACAGTTTTTCAGTCTTTCCAAACCTTTCTCAGACATCTAAATAAAGTTTATGCTAATCTATAACAATTTCAACAGTACATAAGTAAGAAGCCAGCTGTCACGGAATGTATTTCTGAAATAAGATGAGAAAGGTTGTCATGTCTTGTGTTGAACCAGCAATGGCTTAAAGCATTGCCACAGTGGTGTGCTTCACACTTGCAAGAAGACTAACTTTTTTTTACAATAATCTGGCAGCAAGGTGAAGTCTTCATTGGTGTCTGTACAAGGTGTACAGTTTCTTTCCTGAAATTTATTTTTTTTTTTTTAATTTCATGCTAAAATACAAACAACAAAACAAGTACCTATTGCATATGGTGATTATATGGAATAAACGGCAGAAATCACCGTGATGATGCTGTGGTCATGAACCTTTGTCTTACACCCTAAGTAAGCCTTCACTGTCAGGTGATACCAACTAATTCACAAGTATTGAAAAATTCCCCTGTTGGCAAGGTACTCAGATACCATAGCAAGACCACTTCTCTTGCTGCAATGTCAAAAAAGGCTGACAAAGATAATTAAAGTAGAGGGAATACTAAGCCATCTGGCATTGAGATGTGAAAAAAGGACAAACTGCATGTAAGGAGAAAGTTCTTGGATTTTAAAACTGCAAATCAGCCGATTGAAAGGTGACCCAGACAATGGGAGAGAGAGGGAGAACATCATCCTTAAAAGCATTCTGTGTGTGTTTGCAGTAAATTTCAGGTTTCTGAGTCCTAACCTTCCAAATAAACTTGAGGGGGAAACAAAAGCAAAGACAAGAAAAAAAAAAAGGTCAACACACTCTCAAAGAATTACACAGCGGGAATGATGCTCATTTTTGCGTACTTTTTGATGTTAAATGCTCCCAGATCACTTAGCTGTAGATGCAGAGAGCCCACAAGGAGTACCCAGACAAGATGAGCCAGACTGACCAGTGCCAGTCCAGGGCTAGTCAGCAGTCCAGTCATTACCCTATAGGTCTATGTTCTTGGAGCAGGATCACCACTCAGCCCAGCCATCAGACTGCCAAGGCAAGGTCAGGGTGGCAGCAGGCAGCTGAGCCCCTCAGCTTGAGGAAAGGTTGCATGAGGAGTGGCAGAGAAGGATGGTCACAGGCTGATCAGAGCAACAGATCAGCCTGTTGGTGCTCTCACAGTCTTGACAACAAGTGGGGAAAAATGCACAAATGTCAATGTGGTTGTGTCTGTGCATATTTGTTTTTAATGATCTGATTCAGTCACACCATCTCATGTACCAGCTAACTCATCTGGAGACATTTATTTAATGAATAT